CCGGCACCCCGTCCCCGGGCGCTCACCCATGATCTCCAGCTGGACGTGCAGGAAGCTCTCGGCCTCGTCCCGCAGGGTGCTGTGCGACCGCAGCGGCACCGGCAGGAACCCGAACACCTCCTGGTTACAGACGAACATCTGCACTTCTGAAATTAAGCCCGGAGTTAAGCCAGGCTGAGGTTAAGCCAGGCTGGAGTTAAAGTTAATGCCGGGCTGAAGTCAACACCGGGATGAAGCTGGAGTAAGTGAAGCAGAGCTGAAGTTAAGCAGGGTTGAAGTTAAAGTTAAGTCAGGCTGAAGTTAACACCAGGCTGAAGTTAAAAGTCAAAGTCAGGCTGAAGTTTAAAGTTAAACCAAACTGAAGTTAACACCAGGCTGAAGTTAAAGTTACGTCACTCTGAAATTAACACCAGACTGAAGTTAGTCAGGCCAAGTTAACCCCAGGCTGAAGTTAAAATTAACCCCAAGCTTAAGTGAACACTGGCCTGAAGTTCAAGTAAATTAAGTGGGGCTGAAGCGAAGCAGAGACGAAGTTAAAGTTAAGCCAGGCTGAAATTAACACTAGCCTGAAGTTGAAGTTAAGTCAGGTTGAAGTTAACACTCAGCTGAAGTCAAAACTAGCCTGAAGTTGGAAGTAAAATTAAGCGAAGCTGGTTAAGCAGGGCTGAAGTTAAAGTTAAGCCAGGCTGAAGTTAACGCCTAGCTGAAGTTAAAATTAACATCAGGCTGAAGTCAACACTGGCCTGAAGTTGAACTAAATTAAGCTGGGATAAAATTAAGCAGGGTTGAAGCTAAAGCTAAGCGGGGCTGAAACGAACCTCAGGATGAAGTTAAAAGTTAAGCAAGCCTAAAGCTAACGACAACACCAGCCGAAAGCTAACATCCGCACCAGCCCAACATCAAAATTAATGCCAGGCCAAAGCCAAACCCAACACCAGCCTAAAGGGAAAGCCAACACCAGCCTAAAATTTAAAGCCAAGGCCAGCCCAAAGCTGACGCCAGCCTAAAGCTGAACCCCCGGCGGGCTCACCCGCCTGGCGGCAGGAGAAGGCGAAGACGATGATGTCGTCGAAGGCCCAGGTGTAGTCGGGGTGCGGGGGGTAGAAGGCGAGGGCGCGCGAGGCCGCCTTGCGCAGGTCCAGCAGCAGCGTGGAGTGAACCATGGGCACGGCGAAGCAGCCCCGGCGCTCCCGCTTCCGCACCGGCAGGTAGGCCGGAGTCCGCCTGTAGTAACCCTGCGGGGGCAGGAGCCACCCTGGGTGCCTGGATGGGGGTGAAATGGCACCCAAGGGACCCAGAACCCAGGGGATACAGGACCTGACACCCACGGGACCCAGCACCCAAGGGACCTGGCACCCTAAGGACTTAGCCCCTGGAGAATCCAGCACCCGAAGGACTCACAGGACCTGGCACCCAATGGACCCAGCACCCAAGGGAGACCTGGCACCTGGAGGACCCAGCACCCAAAGGACCCACAGGACCTGGCACCCAGGGGATACAGCACCCAGGGGACCCATAGGACACAGCACCCAAGGGATACAGGACCTGACACCCAAGGGACCCAACGCCCAGGGTACCCAGCACCCAAAGGAGACCTGGCATCCTGGGGACCTGGCACCCAGTGGACACAGCACCCAAGGGACCCAACACCCAGGGGACCTGGCATCTGTAGGACCTGGCACCCTGAGGACTTAGCCCCTGGAGAATCCGGCACCCAAAGGACCTGGCACCCAAGGGATACAGGACCTGACACCCAAGGGACCCAACACCTAGGGTACCCAGCACCCAAAGGAGACCTGGCACCCTGGGGACCTGGCACCCAGTGGACACAGCACCCAGGGGACCCAGCACCTGGAGGACCTGGCACCCGGAGGACTTAGCCCCTGGAGAATCCAGCACCCAAGGGAGACCTGGCACCTGGAGGACCCAGCATCCAAAGGACCCACAGGACCTGGCACCCAGGGGACCCACAGGACCCGGCACCCAGGGGACCCACAGGACCCAGGACCCAAGGGAGACCTGACACCCTGGGGACTCAGCACCTGGAGGATCCAGCACCCAGTGGACCCAGCACCCAAA